TAATACATACTAATATGGACAATTTCCTGCATTTCTGCTTCGCGCGTGGGTTACTGTAACGCCGCGTCGCGGCATTCTCCAAATGATACCCACAAGTAATGGGCGCCTCTCCCCCTCAACTACGCCGGAGATTTATCCCTTTTCTATCTGCTTTAGAGCGATTTTTCGGAGGTGATCACCCTCGTTCGTGAACCTGAGTTGGTCATAACGAAGCCACCGCAGATGCCTTCAGCCATCATCGAAGGCTACGGAAAAGGTGCCATACGTGTGACATGGACCGTACCAAAGATCGTGGTAAACTGTTTTCTGTAACAATCACCAAGAGCTTAAGTTTACTGTTCCCATCAGATTCCACCAAATGCCACACTGATGTTCGAGGTGCGTCGAATTGATGACAAGAGTGAAATTGTGTACTCCGGAGCGGAACCGACTTGTCGAATCGAAGGCTTAACGAGTCGACAGCACGTGGAAGTTCAAGTAAGGCACTAACAAAACGTCTGTGAAATCACTGTGTAATTCTTTCAGATTCGCGCTGTCGTGGTCGCAGGAGATGGAACACGTCATGAAGGAGATTGGAGTCCAGTGACTGGCGGAAATGCACCCAGGGATGCTCCCAATGCTCCTACTGAGCTGGCTATCAACAACGAAAGGTGAGCACAATACGAGGAAAGTGCTAGTAGAATGCATGTACAGTTTTTGTAATGTATACGAATTCTTCCAGGACAGTGCTGACGTGGAAGGCACCAGAATCATCGCCGGACATTCGCTATCGGGTCCACTGCAGTCAGATCACCAGCGGTCATGAGGTCGAAGAGACCATTAGTGAACTTGGTGAATGCCAGTACTCCCTAGCGCTCCTGGAGCATGCCAAGCAGTTCACTTGCAGGGTAATGGAACACCACAGATTTCTTCGGATGCCCTGAAAATTGCAGAGCTTTTGTAGGTGTCTGCTTTCCATGATGGAGGGGAGTCGCCACTGTCACAGCCGCTTGTTTTTACAACTCGTAGCGGTGCTCCAGCTCAGCCTGACGGTAAGCCCTTTCTCTGTTTTGGGTTTTGCTTTCGACTGGAAAATGCTGTTTCAGCAGTGACAACATAAGATTCATTCTTATTCATTTGTTACTATATAATTTTTGGTTTTTT